TTGCAAAGTTAAGACCGGGATAAAGTATCTCGGCCAGAGAATATTATACTTTATTTAGATTACAAAGTAAAGTACATGCATGGAAGTTAACCGAAATAATAGTTGGAACAAGAGAAGATTTCGTTGAGAGTGTAAATCAAGAGTTACAAAAGGGTGGGATTTCAGCCCGGTTACAGTTTTCTTTCCAAAAGTAAAAAGAAGAAAATACAAAGTCAAGCAAACAAGTCGTCAAGATCAGCATCCAGGTCAACTCGGAGCCCGGTTTTAGTTGGTAGCTCGGTTGTCAGGTCTTCCACCGGTGGTTCAACCTGAGCTAGCTGGATGACAGGATCATTGATGACCGGGGCATTGTTAGGCACGGTCTCTTCTTCATCATCCTCAGATTCAAGGAATTTCTGTTGAATGGCGGCTGCATACTCCACCATACAGCTCGCTATGAAGTACGATGAAGGGTTCAGGAAAACCTCAGTCTCTGGACTGTGACCGAGCTGTTCCACCGCCGCTTTCCACCCGTACTTGAAAAATAGATCCTTGGCAGCTTCGCACTGCAGGATGTAGGTTGCTTCACCTTTTTTGTAGCCACGGTCTTCCGCATCGCCAATCTTCTTCTCAAGTTCAGTTATTTCGGCCTTCTTGTTCTGCTCAATTGTGGCAAGCTCACATAGGTAACGATCCTTCAGCTTGGTCAAAACTTTTTGTTTGTCCACTTCGGCTAAGTCAACTAGGCCGGTGGGCGACCTCAGATTGTAGCTCAGCCATTTTTTGTTTGGCCTCGTTTAGCTCGGCCGTCTTCTTGTCAGCCTCTGCCACGGCTTGCCTTGTTGTTTTGCGTAGCTCTAGCACATGCTTATGAGCAATCTGGTTCTTTTGCATGGCCTGCATAAATGTGGTAAGCAATTTTGAGTGAGAATCGAGCTAACAATTGCACAAAATAAGAAAACAAAGGAAAGAGCACTCACCAGCACCATTAATTTGGTGGCCGAGCAGATAGCTTTTAGCTCGGTAAGGTGGGCATGGTGATCCATATCAGGGGGCAGACACACGCTCTTAGCCAAGTTGAAGGCCAGCATGTGATCTTTATCTGCCACCACTGAATCTGTTGGTCTGATGGCTCGGTTCTAATATGTTAATCTCGATGCCCAATCAGAAGAGTTAGCTCGGTCTGGGCTCTCAGGTTGTGGGCTCGGTACTTCGGTTAGGGGAAGCACAGTTTCGTCCTCATCGACGAGGCATGGCTCGGTAGTGGAAGACCGAGCGTGCTTGCAAGTCCGAGATGATTCAGGTTGTTGGGATGGCAGCGTTACCACGGTCTCCTGGGTTTGACCGACTTGTGGTACCTCGGACCGGTTTGTCTCGGTGATGAGTGCTCTTACGGCTCTCTTTTTGGCCATTTCTTGTTCGGCAGTTAGTGGGATGAGATTGATTTGAGGCAAGGATGGATCTGGCTCTGGCGAAGGTTCAAGGAGGAAATCGGTCACTCTGGTCTTCCTGCGGCTACTATATCGGTAGGTCAGTTCAAAATTCAGTAGCTCGGCCCAGCCTCTGTTTGGATATCGGAGTGCGGCACGAAGTGCGTTTAAGTTTGGGTAGTTGTACTGAGATTTAAGGAAGTTCAAATCTGCATGAAGAAAAAAAAGATAACAGTTAGTATGGTTCAAGATAAGAAACCGAAATAAAGAAAAGCATGGAATTGAGCCGAGGTAATCGTACCAGCTACACCCTTGTTCCAATTTATTCTGTCACCCGGGATCTGGGCTTGTTGGTCCTCAAAGTTCCCAGATACCCAGAAGAAATCATCATCATTCACATCTTTATTTGGGGTATTCTTTATTATCTTTTCACGCCGGCGCCTTATTCTTAAATAGTAAACCTAGCCATCTTCCGCTGATCCTATGGAATATTGGTGGAAGAGCTCGACTAAACCGAGGTTAAGGCCAGCCCGGCGGTTTAGCTCGGCGATGCCGTTTATTATACAGTATGAATTTGTGGAAAGTTGGGTAGGGCGCTACACCCTTGTTCCAATTTATTCTGTGGCTAGGGATTTGGGCATGATGGTCCTCAAAGTTCCCAGATACCCAGAAGAAATCATCATCATTCACATCTTTATTTGGGGTATTCTTTATTATCTTTTCACGCCGGCGCCTTATTCTTAAATATTAAACCTAGTCATCTTCCGCTGATCTTATGGAATATTGGTGGAAGAGCTCGACTAAACCGAGGTTAAGGCCAGCCCGGCGGTTTAGCTCGGCGATGCCATTTATTATACAGTATGAATTTGTGGAAAGTTGGGTAGGGCAGAGGTTGGTTTGTCTGAGGAACTCACAAAGAAGGGTGTGTACAGGGAATCTTAGTCCGGTTTCTACAATGGAAAGAAGTGTAAAGGAAACAAAGCCAGGGTTTCCCTAGGGAGTGATATCTAGTTCGGCTAGAGTAAGATGGACATCATCAGGGATATGGTAATCCCTTCGGAACTCAGCCATAGCACCTGGGGTGTTTACCAAAAATCTCTATTTCCCCATGTGATCTTAAGTTATGATTAAATTAGCTGAAGTGTCAGCTCAATCGGGAAATGACGCTGAGTAGCTCGGTTGAGCGTTCAAGGGAGTGCCTGGCAACCTAAGACTGCAAAGTGAAAAAAGAAAGATTTTAAGCTCGGCTCGTTGGACCGTGCTAAAAGAAACAAAGGCAGAGATAAATGAAGTCCTAGCTCGGTTACGTGGGCCGTTATCCATTCTTAGCTCAGTTTGAGAAAGGGCCTTTAGCCCGATTGAACTTTTGGAGCAGCATTCTTAGTTCGCTTTTAACTAAGGGAGCTGGATTAGCTCCAAGTTTTAGTTTGGTCGATTGTTAGGGCTTTTAAGCGCGGTATTGCGCAAACTTAATGCAGTTCGATAGCGCGGCTAAGAGGTAGGGCCTATTAAAACTACGAGTAGGGTGTGAAGTTTTAGTCCGGTTGTTTAGTTCGGCCAGGGTCGTACCTAATACAAACAGTATCCTAGTTCGGTTGGAGTGTGATTTTGGATCAAAACTATCATTTCCCAGGTTATTTATATAGACAGTGGTTATATTACAAAGGTTTTTTCAGTAAATAGAAGCAAAAGTGGAATAGGTGTTTTTGAAAATCATACAAAAATGCATGCTATGCATTACAAAACAAGTGCGAAATCAACGGAAAGGAAAGAGATTTGAGTCACATACCAGTTCAAAATGGAGGGACCAAAGGTGAAAAAGATCTCAACAAGAACACGAGCTCCATAGTTGCAAGAGAACAAGGGAGAAGAAGCTCAAAGAGAGAGAAAATGACGAATAGTAGACGTGATAAATTCAAAATGAGTAGTTTTTGTGCAAAGAAGAAGAAATTGGGCGGGACTGTTCAAAATACGCTAAATACGAAGACGGCGTGACAGCTGCATTGGGCCAATGTTAGTGTGCCACGTGTTCTTGGAATAAGAAGCGATTCAGTTAGAGATTGAATAGACGTTTTTGACCGAACAAATTGGTAGCACAGTGTGAATTTAGCTTGGTTGGAAGGCTAAAGTTTTTTAGCTCGGTTGGAAGGCTAAAGCTTTTTTTTAGCTCGACTGGTAACAGGTAATCCCTATCATGCTGCACAGATGGAATTGAGAGGGTAATTTATATGTAAATTGGACCGAGCTGGGTAATGGGCCATTCTGTGGGCCACAGTAAGAAATGCTGAGTAAAAGGGCCTTGTAATTAGTCCGGTCCAGAGGAGCCTTGCAGATAGCCTGGTCCGAAAGAGCTTGGTGGTTAGCTCGGTCACCACGGTCGGTGCGGTGACAATTAGCTCGGTCAATCCGTCTTGAGCCGAGGTATTTTTGGCTTCTACTCAGGACCTTGCTGTTGAGTAGCTCGGTCCAAGTACGCTATGGTTAGCACGGTCTCAACAGGTGAAACCGAGGTACGATTAACAGAGGAAAGAACCGAGCTAGCTAGAGCTCAGTCGTTTCAACCAGTTTAGCATGGCTATCTTATCCCGGTCGTACTGCCTTCCAACTAGGATAAAACCATCTCACTTGGTTAAGTAGTGAGGGAGGTGTTGAAGGATAAGCATTATCCTTCAAGAGTGTGATTCCTAGGAGGATTCTGCATGGAGGAATAAGAGTCCTACTAGGATTGTGCCACGCGGAACCTATAAAAGCTCATAACATCACCTATGGAGAGGTAACACAACTTTGATTCTCGAATACACAGAGCTTTTGTCTATTTGCCTATTTTGCTGACTTAGGCATCAGAGAGGTGTCCGGCACACACTCGCCGGTTAGCTCACGTTTGTGTTTTCAGGGAGTAAAGCGATAGGGAATAAAGCGACGACGTTTGGAGGAGCGTGAACTTGATCAACATGATTATACGAGAAAATTATTTCTTGCTCGTACATCACCCTACGCTTTTAGACAAATGTGCTCCTAGATGTGTGTAGAGGTTGTGTTTGTTCACGAGAATAGATTCCTAATCAAGTCAATTTGGCAATGTACACAGCCCCCATGGATGCCCCTCTTTCTTAAAAGGCGACCTCCATGAATGCCTCTCTATTTGAGTATTCTATATTCTCCATATTCTTCAACTAAACTTAGTTATTGACTATTTTTATGTTGTTCCTGTTGAACTAATTCTATTCTACACGCAACTATTCAAACCATATCAACAACAACAATAATAATAGTAATAATAGCAACAAGAACAACTATTGACAATTACAACAATAATAAACAAAAATAGTTAAGCTTATTTTCTAATATTAAGTTAATTCGGACTAAAATCAACTAGAAAGTGGTACACAGGTTGAATAAGCAACATTGGGTGGTGCTACACCTTTTTTTAATGGAATGTGACATTTAAACACGTGGGAAAATTATATATTCAACTATTATTAAGTTGGTCATGGGATATTACATGCATGCAACTCACACATTTTCTATCTATTATACCTTACTATATATATTTCCTCTGCCTCTTCCTTAAGACTCGCTCTGTCCACCTCCTCCTCCACCACCAACTCCTCCTCCTCCTCTCCACCACCACCACCACCACCACCACCAACAACAACTCCTCCTCCTCCCTCTCTGTCTCTGTCTCTCTCTCTAACATTCCTCGCCTCTGTTGGAACCTCCTGCAATCTATCCTTTGATGGCATCGGTAAGTTTATTTCTCTCCATTTCAACCTGGTTAGATAACATTTCATCAATGTATCGTTTATGGACATTTGTGATTGAGTAATTTGATTGTATTGCTTCGCATAATGTTATGAATAGCGAAATATTTAGGATTTGACAGTGATGATGATGGATATTTGGTAGTTCCGTTGCAATTTAAAACATAAATCTCTCTGCCTCTAAAATCCCAAAAACAGTATCTGCCATTTTTATTTTATTTTTTTGCAGCATTTTATTTTAGACCTCGAAGAAATAATCTGCTACCACTGCTCAATTTGATTTAAATTTTTTTTTTCTTCATAAAATTGTGATAAGCAGCAGGATAGAGGTAGGCCATTGCCGAAGTTTGGGGAGTGGGATGTAAATAATCCAGCATCAGCAGATGGATTTACAGTCATATTTGCCAAGGCTAGAGATGAGAAGAAAACCACTGGCACAGCCGCCAACGGAGCACCTTCATCACAGAGGAACGACAATCAGCCAAGACATGATCAAAATTATCATCATCCCCCTATGGTACTAGACCACCCATCACATTCTGATGATTCATGTGGGGTTTTTTTCTTCTTTGTTTTTTTTTTTAATGTCTAAAAATTTGTTGATCAATTTTGGTTTTTTTTTTTTGTAGGGGAAGAAGTGGTTTTGCTGTTTCTGAAGCCTTTGCTGATTTTTCAAGATAGTAGTTCATCTGTGCCTGTTGTTTGAGACCAAGAAGCGGAGAAGGAGATGTGGTTATGTTTCATTTCTTTTCTTTTCTATTTCTTTTTAATATCTTGTATCTTCTTCATTTATATAATTAATGTTTAGGAAAGCTGCCAAAGACATTCAAACCTATATTGTCTTGTGTGGTTGGGAATCTCTCTCTCAGTAGTTCTCAGATTTTTCAATTCTATTTAAGTTGACACACTATTCATAATCAAATAATTAGAAATGAAAGCCTAGGCTGAATCTAGGACATGATTGGTAATTAATTGCAATTATTCACTTATGTCAACACTATTAATGCTGTGTTTGGTTAGGGGATTTGGGATGAGATTTGGAAAGGGAAAGGGAAAAGGTGTGTGAAACTATGTGAAATATAGGCATGATTTATTCACATTTCACCTACCTTTTCCATTTCCCTTTCCAAATCCCTTCCTAAATCTCCCAACCAAACACAGTATACAGGTATAAGGATAAAGATCAAATGCAAATACCAAAAAACACTAACTATACTGAAAAATGAGATAACTCCAATACAATTGTCTTAAACAAAACCAAACACATAGATTTCATAATAACAGCCCAACATATGCGAAGAAACAGTAAAACAAAGGTTACTACTTTACTACTAAAACAGGATGCCACTAAATTTTAACCTAGCCTAGAGTCCTAGAAGATATATGACAAAAAAGCAAATTGGGCAATGAGTCCTCCATAGGATAGCACTGCAACAGCTGTAGAAGCAGATGAACTACCGCCGCCACTACCACCGGATTGAGCATCTTCATGAGACAACACCTTTATGATCATTCGCTGTCCTCTCCGGCAGTGTCCGGCTGATCCACTAATGAAGTAGAAAAGCCCAGGGCGGTCGAGTTTGTACACTGTGGTCCCGGTGTTGGAGAAGAAGGTGGGGTGTGTGGAGTTGCAGTTCTTGTACTCTGACTCACTCACTTCCATAACTGAATCCTTCTTGTACTTGAAATCTGAACGCAAAGCCCCAATACATTAGAACTACAAAACAAACTTCATTCTAGCATAACATTAGATTACAAAACACACCAATATATATATATTTTTATTGTTTTATTTTCTGTACAAACACAACAGTTTTTTTTTTTTTTTTTTTTTTTTTTTTTTTCAAAATGCCCACAATTGAATGAAATAAAGAAAAAATTATAATTAAGTGGTATTTTCAAAAAAATAAATACAAATTCATGAGAAAGTTTATTATTTTAATTATTAATATTTGTAAAATTTACCATTGATTACATTTTTTTTTGGGGGGTTGAACTTACAATTGTAATTTCTCCATAAATAAACATGCCACGTCCAGTGAATAACTGCTAATTAATTTTCAAAATTGACTCATATTTCTTATTGAGCAAACCGTCTAAACATTTAGATATAAAATTGCACACCCATAACCCGCTGCTAGTGTCTATTCATACATGATCAAGCAAATACGTTAATTTAAAATAAAAATAAAAATAAATAAAAAAAAACAAACTCAGTCTAGTCTAGTTTAAATTGCAAGACTCTTTCTCCCTCTCTTTAGTGTACCAAAAAAAGGGTATAAGAACACTTACGGACGGTGTCGCCGATCTGGAAGCGGTTCTCAGAGGCCCAGTCGTTATAGATTTTGCTGTCATTTGCAGGGGGAACGACCCAACCCTGGTTGTCACCAACTTCAAACTGAAAGGACGCGACGGAGAGAAGATGAGAGCAAGAGAGAAGCAAGAGCAGAGTTAGGGTGGTGAAACTCATGATCATCATGGATTCAGAAGCCATTTGGAAGATTTTGGAGAGCTCTTTGGGTAGCAAATAGGTATATATGTACTAAAAGCTTTGGAAATGCAAGGCAAAGAATGAAAAGTCACTGAAAAGAGAGTTTCCTATGTTATGAAGTGTTTTGGAGTTGTGGGTTGGCTAAATATAAGGGACTTGAGTGCGAGTTCGAAGTTGGGCAGTTAGTTATGCGGGGGGGAGTGTGATGGGTCATGGAGGTAGTGGAAATTTGGAAAACAACAACGGTTAGCTGAGGATTTGGTTGACTTGGTCAATTGGTCAAATTTAGATATTCTGAGAAAGGGGTATTAATGTAAATTTGGTAGCATTGACTGAAGTCACTCGCCACGTTTGCTATTATCATGGATCATGGCCGTTAATCCAATTCCCCACTCACTCTCTAATCACCCAATTTTGCCACCCAAATAAATTAATTACCTCTTCTCCTTTTATTTATTTATTTATTAGTATTTCGCAATGGATATTTTGGGAAGTATGAAGAATTCAAAACATGATAAATTATTTATTTATTTATTTATTTATTTTATCAGGAAAAATTGATTTGTGATTGGGCTTTATGCATATTAGGTCTTAGTTTAAAATTAGGCCTGTGAGGGTTAAGTTGGACATGATCAAATATGAACCAAACTCATATATTTCTCAGAAAGCCTAATATTTAATTTGATAAAATTTCAATTTCATTCATTTAGTCCAACTTCTAATTTTATTAATTAAAACCCAAACTTAAAATTGTGATAAATTTGTATTTTTTCTAATAATTTCCCAACATCTAAAATCTCGACCCATAACATTTTGGTTCTATTATTCATAAACTTGCATTGCTAACAACCATAACATGTTTTATAAATCCTGTTTATTTTTATCCGTGCTACATTTAACAAGACCAAAAAAAAAAAAAAAAAAATTTAATATGTTAAGCAAATTATTTTAGAGAAAATAATTGTATAGTGTAACAATCAAACAAAATTTATAAATCAGTGAGAAAATTTATAGACTTCATTAATTAAAATGTTATACTTTTTCACAATTTTGTAATTTTTTTTAAGATATTTACGTGTAGGTCCTAATAAGTAGACTTATTGTCTAATAGGTTCTATGAGAAAAATTTGTCATGAAAAAATGTCACTAATTGTAAGTTTTAAAGATAATTTATAAAAATCATGACAAAAAAAAGTCACTAATTGTCAATTTTTAGCAACATATAAAAAAAATTTCACAAAAAAAATATTTTTAACGATAATTTTATCAAGACTTATTTTCGATAGGACTTGATGAGAATTAAATTCAACTATTATGACCTATTAGCAATTTACCTTTTTCTTTTTTACTGTTGTAGAGGAAAAAAAATATGAGCCCAAACCCAAACCCAATGACGCTAGCCCAAAAAGAGAAAAGGTGAACCCAAATCAACTCTTTAAAACCTATTAAGGACAACCGATAGCGGGGTGGCACAAGCCCAAGCATATGAAAAGAAAATAAGCATAAAGATATCCTTGTAGAAGGCAGATATACAAAACAAAGGAGGAACGTTAGATCAAACCTCAATCCAACTGCTGGAAACACAACTCACAAAATACAAGAGCATAGGCTGGGCCTAATAGAAGGCAAAGCCATCGGATCAACTTGATCTTACGGACATAATGTTGGACAAGTTAGTCACTAACATCTAACACAATCCAAGCTGTCCATAACGATCAAGAATTGTAAGAGGGGCTAATTTGAACCCACTAAATTATTTAGGCCCAATAGCCCAAGATTAGTGGGCCCAAATTTATCGCAAGTCCAAGACTGGCGGGACCAGATTTATCACCATCTGTAAAATTTTACAGTTCTAAAGAATGTTATAAAACTGCAAAATTTTATAGTTTTAAACCATGATTCATTCCAGCACCAAAAAAAAATTTTGAAACTGCAAAATTTTACAGTTTTCACCGCCTGTAATTAAAACTCGAAAACTACTTGTTCAAAATTTGAAAATTTTCTCTATTAGAACAGAAAAACAGAAGTGTATAGCAGAGAAAAAAAAAAGAGATCGAAGGAGAAAGGCGGATGTAGAGAGAGGATTATACTCCGACAACTATTTTTTGTTTAGATCTAGCCAAATCTGATGTAGATCTACTCAGATCTGAGTAGATCTACATCAGATCTAAGTAGATCCACTCATCTTCTTTGTCGGAAATATATATCTTCGCCGTCGGTGAAAGTGAAATCACGAGTTGATTTCGATGGTTGGCGGTTATCAGTGAACCCCGATCAATGGAGAAGGACATGAACACCTGCACCATCGTCTATGACGAAGACGATGAGAGAAAAATGTAGAAAAAAAGAGAAAGAATAAAACGTAAAAAGGGAGGAAAAAACCAGAGAGATAGAGGAAAGGACTTTTGGGTGTACCCAAAAAGTTATGGGATTAAATGGTGTCCACATGTTCCACATGGGACCTGTGGGTAATTTCCCCAAAAGAAAATAAGCATAAAGATATCATTCTAGAAGGCAGATATACAAAACAAAGGAAGAACGTTAGATCAAACCTCAATCCAACTGCTGGAAACACAACTCACAAAATACAAGAGCATAGGCTGGGCCTAATAGAAGGCAAAGCCATCGGATCAACTTGATCTTACGGACATAATGTTGGACAAGTTAGTCACTAACATCTGACACAATCCAAGCTGTCCATAACGATCAAGAATAAAAGCAACTTGGCAACTTGATCAACCAGAGCCAGGCGAAGGCATAACCATCTGATTGGAAGATGATTGGACGAACAAGATTCGAATCAAGCAACTATAAAAGGACAAGGAGATAAAACACAAGGCAAGTAGAATGTAACTTAAAAATCTCATTTTCAATTAACACTGTATATTCTATTATGGCTGATCAATATACTAACTTGATCGTCAAAGAATCTTTTTGACCAAACATGATCAGCCCCAGCCCTAAGATTTCTGGGGCCCAAATCTGATAATTAATTGATAAATTTCTAGGGGCCTTCACATTTTTTTTTCCATTGAACGAAATAAAATAAATAAAAAAAATTGAAGGTAAAAGACAAAAGATTTGTGTCAAAATTACAAAAAATATTTGGCATTACATTACAACAACTAATAAGTATCGCTTGATTCTCGCTCTTCTTACATTTTTGGAAGCAAATAAATCAATTATACTTGCATAATCTAGTTTTTTTGCAAAATCATTTTCAATGGATAACAATGCTAATTATTTTAAATGGGCCTTTCAATTTTTTTAATGAGTCAATTTATTTTAAATTAGTTTAGGCATTCCTTAATTTTTTTTGGACTTCAAACATACCTAATATATTATACTAAATCATAATAGAAGGGTACCCTTTTTTGGGTCTATTGTCAATAGATAACAATGCTAATTTTTTTGAATGAGCCTTTCAATTTTTGAATAGGTCAATTTATTTTAAGTTTGTTTGGGCTTTCTTCAATTTTTTTTTAGACTTAAAATATACTTAATATATTACACTAAATTATTATAGGAAGGGGTCTTTTTTTAGATCTATTTTAAGAGGCTCTAGACCATAATGTGATGGGCCTATGTCCAGGACCGACCTGAACATGATTGAGAGTAATCACTGACATTTAATTTATCTTAACAGAATAAAATGACGAAACTCGTTATCCCACTTTTCTTGTAAAAATAATTTCCCCATCCATAACTATCATCACTGTCAAGTTATTTTCCGGTTATTTTACGAAAGTGTTTATTGATTGAATTATAGACAAGACAAGTAGCCATCAATTCATCAGTTCACCTTTGATGACTCCGCCCATGTGGCACCTCCGCACGAAAGGTTAACAATATTTGTAGCCTTCGGGTCGAGCCTGCGTTGTGGGCTATATGATATTTTAGGAAGTGGATTAAATATCATTTTTTAATTTTTAATTCATTTTATTTCTTACTAAAAAAAATTAAAAAGTTATAAAAAAATTAAAAAATTAACTTTTAACCATTTTACTAAAAAAATCTTATAATACTCTTGTCAAATTCTCCCAAAAATGCACCACCACTATCAAATTAGGATTGAGAGAACGCATGAACGAGATTGTTTATTTGGTGGCCTTAGTGCATTGCTTTACAATATTTATTGTTCAACATTTGTTATGTTATTTTTTAAAAAATTTAATAAAAAGTATTGAATCATATTATTTTAATCAATGAATATCAAGTTAAGCATCACATGAATTTGTCACAAGAACAAAAAATAATTTCTCCAAAAACGGACTAAGACCTAGTTTGGGAAGACTAAATAAGTGTACTTTTTGACTTTTTATGAAATATGGGTTGGGTTTGGGTTGGGTTTGAAGTGATGTGTTAGAGAGATGATGTGACTTAAACAAGATGATGTGACTTAAATAAGATAGTGACTTTTTGACTTTTTACCTTTTTTCAATCATGCCAAACTTGGCCTAAAACATACCAAAAACAGAATAAATAAAGAGAAACACATGTGACTATGCTAGCTTTTTGCACAAGTTTCATTTACTTATTTATTTTTGTTTAAGTACTTTGTTAATTCTTTTTTTTATTATTATTTTTTATAACAAAACTGGCTCATTATTATAAAACAATTTTAATCAAACTTCTAAAATTCAAACTAAAAGTATATTTATTTTTTCTGTTTTGGTAATGAATAATGTTTGGGACTCCTTGGGGGTCACCCCCTCACCCCCTTTGTCACGTGGCAGGTAGTGATTAGAGGAGCAGGAAAAAAAAGAAAAAGAAAAGAAAAATATAACCAATGAGAGAGAGAGGGGGTCAAAGGGGATGGGAGAAAAGGAGAGATGAATCATTGTTGTTTGGTAATTCCCCAAGCCTTTACGAAATTCCAAACAAATAAAAGTTGCCTCTCGGAAATTCTAGTTTGCCCGCTTCAGCTAACCATGCCAAGTAATAAACAACTCAACTGTTTCTGCCAACTATGGTCCTCCTCCAACACTTCAGCATTCTCTGCTCTTACAAATAAGATAAATGCTTGGAAGTACTAAAATGAGAGCATTAGGAGGAATACTAATGATGTTGTAGTGGGTTCCGCCAACTTTCTATATCTTGTTTTTATTTATTTATTTATTTTTTTTATTATTATCATTTCTAATGTATTAGTGTTATTAACGGTGTATTTTTTAGTAGTCTAAATCATTATTGTAAATACTAACTGTTTTCCAAACCCAATCCGTACCAACCCACCCAAATCCAACATATTCACAAATCCAATCTGGGTTTTCTTATTTTAATCCCCTAAAACCTCAAAACCCATTTCTCAGATCCAGCTCTTTCACAAACACACTCTTCACCATGGAGCTCTGCTCC